ATGGCTTTCTACAATGTGTTAAATGAGACCCTGTGCTGACCACTAGGCAGCTTAGCACAGGTGTTATTACCAGTCATGCTCAGAGTCATGTTCTTCTAACATAGAAGTCTGCTATTGAAATCAAAAATTGCTTACACACTTCCTCAAATATTTCAATTTGTAGGTGATATACGGGCAACTGAAAACCTGGGACTTTCTGCTTTGCACACTGTCTTTTTAAGAGAACACAATCGCATAGCTAGAGAGCTGAAGAAGTTAAATCCTCACTGGGATGGAGAAAAGCTTTACCAGGAGACTCGAAAGATCATAGGTGCTATAATCCAGGTACTAGCTGCTGCTCATTCTTTATCATCCGTGTGCTTACAGCTATCTTTCCTCCCAGAAAAGGAGGAAAATCATGCTTAGCAGATCTCAGAGTTCTTCCAGGAAGTTGAAAAACTCCTGGAAAAGGACAGTCTGATGGGAATAGCACACATGCCAAAGGTTTTTGTGCAACTGGTGTATTTTGTTCAGTTGAGATGTTCTAGCTCAGCACTCTGTTGTCACCTTCTGCAGTAAGTCCGGATGGAAAGTGTGGAAAATCCTCCGCTTTCTCAGAAGAAAATGCTACCTTTCAGTAGTTTTTTTTAATTATTATTTTATCCTCCACATTCATGTTCTGCATTTCAAATTTTATGCTATTCCTGCTTATAGCTGATGCCATAACTTCTGACTGCCAGCTCTACCTATATGCTCTTTCAGATAATAACATACAAATACTATCTTCCATTTCTGCTCGGAGAGGAGATTGGCAAGTGGATTCCACCATACAGTGGCTACAATGAGACTGTGGATCCTACAGTGGCAAATGTTTTTTCCCTGGCTTTTCGGTTTGGTCATACTTCAGTATTGCCTCTTGTATCCTATTTAGATGAAAAATTTCAACTGTTAGATCAGACTCCTCTTCACTTGACTTTTTGTGCTTCCTGGAGAATTATTATGAAAGGTAAGAACATGTGGCAGCCCGCAGTCCTGGTCTAGTTCTGGAGCGGGTGTTCAGATGGTGGCTAACTGGTAAGACACACCAGACAAACTCCAAAAACTTTTAAACTCCATTATATAATTTGTCTCAACCAAATTAGTGCCCTTCAGCCTGGAAGATGTTCACAGCATGTCTGCTCAGCACTTTGCTAAATGTGGCGGAATTGCCTCCAAACACAGCCTAGTAACAGGCAAAGATGTCTTGCCAAAAGTTCTGTGTTGTTACGCTCCAACTGTTGAACATCCCCAAGCACCAACTCCTCAGAACCGCTTTAGTGGCAGTGATAATGGCATCTATATTCTGAAAATCCAAGTAAATAACTGGAAAATGAAGCAAAGAGACTCTTCAGATTGCTGTCTTTATCTCAGTTCAATGAGATTCGACAGCATGTGCATCGTACTGCACAAACAGTGCAATTGCTCATATTATTCTTGGAAGCATCAGCCTCAAGGCACCAAATGTCAGTTAATCAAAATTTAGGTTAGTCTAAACTAGTTGCTTTATATCACTGTGTAATTAATAGGCAGGGCTAGAGGATTACTCATGCAGCTTGAGCTAGGACAGGAAAATACACCAAAATAAACATATGCATCCAGTTTTGCTTCTGTCTTCTTAACAGCTATGAAAACAACATACCCAACAAAACCCATGAATTGATGTTAAAAAATTAATAAACAATTGTCAATTAATAGGTAATTCTAAACAAAATAATTGCAAATCATAAACCTGGAGCTGAACCCTAGGCATCAGTAGACATTGGGGACTGACTGGTTAAGGAGTTACTGCAGAAAGTGACCTGGAAGACCACAAGAAAGAAGTGGATATAGAAAAGACAGCTGCAGTGTGGGTGAAGGGGAGAGGGAGCAAATCTAATTGCAATTCACCTCCCTGCTAGGGCTGTTTACATATAAAAGGGAGCCAAACTTTCCCCTGAAGTGTGAAGAGACAAAACAGAAATAAGTTGTATCAAAGGAATATTCTTTCCAGATGGAAGAAAAAGAGTCTTTGAGACAAATGCTGAAAGAGCTGGTAGGATCTCCCTTCTCAGGCAAATTCAGAACTTGACTGAACAAAACTCTAATCAACCTGTTCTAGTTTTGAAACTAGTTCTGCTCTAGCAGATGTTTGGAGACTCCAGAGATCCTTTCCAACCTGAGCAGATGAAAGGGATTCTGCCTGTAAAAGCAAGGGATTCAGTGCCCAGGAAGTGTTGCTTCTACTGTGTCTGTTGCTTTTCCTGGAAATTTGACTTGATCATTGTAGTTGCTCTGTAGTCATCCTTCTAGAAATCTGAGCTGAAGCTGGCTCAGTCCTGTTTGGCTGAGCCAGGTGAAAGGAACACTGCCTGGAGGAGAAAGGATGTACGCTGCTGCAGCTGTACCATGAAAGCTAAAATTAGGTGAAAAAAGTCTGTGCTTTTTCCCCATTTGCAATAAACACAGGTGGCATTGACCCACTCTTACGAGGAATGATGTCTGATCATGCAAAACTGATAAAACAGACTCAACTGCTCATTGAGGAGCTCCGGAATCGCCTATTCGAACAGACAGCGATAATGGGTTTGGATCTAGCAGCCCTAAACATGCAGAGGGGAAGAGACCATGGTCTTCCAGGTAAAGGCATACAAGTTCACACTTTTGTGGACAATACTGCTCTTTCCTCAGCTACTTAAGGAAGCTCCTGGAATGTACTGAGCTTCTTTTCATAGCAATAGGTAAAGACAGGACCTTGATTTGAGGGGGAAGGATCAATGCACAGTTAGAATTTTGGAAGAAGTCTTTTTTTCTGAGTGATTTAGGAAGAAAGGCAAAGGGAAACCCAAAATTGTATTTGGCCTGATGCATTAAAGATGAGGGGACACAGTAGTGTATTGCAAAGTGAAAACACGTGGGGTTTAAGTGATTCATTTGTAAAATAATCTTTGCTGAATCATTTGACAAGCTTGCATCTGTGAAGGGGGAAAAATATGTTAATCAAAACATGGTGTCAGGAAGGCCTAGATATGAATTTGATGTTCTTGGATGAATCAAAAAAACTGTAACCTAGAGTAAGTACACAGAAAAATCTGACAGAATTCAGGTATAACTTACAAAAAGATGCCAGGGCTCTGAATCAAAGATACAGGCCCAGGAAACCAAATTAAGCTTTCATACAAGCTACAGAGAGTATCTTGGCCCATCAAGACTTTTTTTATGTCTTTATCCAGGGGTATGATTGCCCCTGGTCTTAGAGAGGAAGTGGTTTTCTTGGGTTAAACACACAAACACACAAAACACACAAAAATGTTTTTTTTTTTCCAGAATTTTGATCCCAGAACTTTAATTCCCACAAAACCACATGGACTGATGTGCTCAGTCTCAGCACCAGATAGATAGTTTTAACATTTACAATGTGCTGAACCTCAATCATGTGTAAAGACAGACCAGATTGTTATTTTAATGTGAGCATACAAAAATAATCTTTGAAAAGAACATATGTTTTGACAGTGCCTGCTTTGGCAATAATGTCTCCCCAATCCTTTAGTGACATGGGATGAAGCAGGCATTGTCCGTGGGCCAAGAGGTCTGTTAAGCTCCCGAGTCTAGGCAGACAGTGGGCAGACCAGGGTGCTGAGCAGCTGCCATTC